GTATGCCAAAATTGGACTAAGGGTGCACAATTTGAGGAGCAGTCGCAGCCGACATTTACATTAAATAATCTTCAAACATTAAATTGTATGGACCATACTATCAATTCAAACATATATTTCATATTTCTGATTATTTTTTTTTCGAATACTTTCATATGGCTCTTACCGAATCACCGTTTATTATACTAGTTTCAGTATCCATCAAACATAAATATTGGAATAAGAAGAAAATTTGAAAAATTTCATATGAATTGAGATTAAGCCCTCGGTTCCATCATCACTCTGGTAGTAATATGAGTAAGAGAATATAGTAGGATGATTTTCGGGATTATAGTCCATGGTTCAAAATTATATAAAACTTACACATTTAGTATCTCGATCCCCCGCATTGTATAAAGGAATTACAGAAAGGTCTTCGTCTACGATCATAAACTTGGATATGTTGTCCCAAGCTTCTTAAATTACCGAAAGCCTTTTCTTACTTGAACTTATTGAAAATTATTTCTTATTGGAAATTATAACAATATTTTCTATATTCGTAAATCTAAATATCCAATATTGTTTTTGGCGACTGCCAAAAACTATTACGTCTCTGCCTGTCTAATTAGTTATTGTCGAACACTTTTCTTTTTTGAAAAAATTAATTGCAATTTAATGAAACCGTTCTTTCAGTAGCGAACGTCTTTGATTTGGCCTTTCCACGTTTCAATTGTAGAGATTGAGATCTATGTATGTGTTGGTGTGTGTGTGTTTGTGTATAATATTGTATGCATCTATGCTTCATGTAAATATTTTACTTTTATTTGAAACTAACTACATTTTTTTTTTGTTCTTTGCATTGTTGTTGCTGTTGTTGTTATTCTCATTGTTTATATGTATATATATAAATTATACTGGTTTATTATCATTTAAATACATGTTAAATGAGACATATATGTATACATGTGGATTTATAAATGTAAATATATATATGTGTGTGTGTATGTATGTATGTATATATATATATAAATAGATAAATATATCTTTGCTGAACTGAATAATCCAAGGAACTTTTAACATTATTGCTTGTGTAGACGTACATATGCACATTAATACATACTAATACATGTTATAATAACCATATATATGGGTTCTGCTTCATTATATTAAGCCTTATACATAACTATACGAATATACGACGACGACGACGACGACGAGTATGTACAATGGAAAACCTATTTGGCTGGCACACACTTGCACTCATATACGGACACATCCCGGCGAAAATCCCCTTCTATGTAGCTCCGAATGTTCGGGGATGCGTACGTACAGAGTTGCATGGTCGTGGGTGCCCTCCTGGTTTTGGTGGTGTTCTGAGTTTCTGTTTTAATCGGCTTAATTCTTATCATTCGTTGCATCTCATATTCGTTTCATTTCTTATTGGCTTATGTCTGATGTTTTGGTTGTTTACACAAATAAGTCAATGAAAATAGGTTGTTATTACTGTTGTTGTTGTTGTTGTTTTCATTGATTATAGTCTAAGATAATACTTTAATGTTGCACACTTATGATCTTAACTGTAACGAAACTAAGGGGAAACAAAATACACGTATGGTGGTTGTGGTGGTAGTGGTTGGTGGTGGTTGGTTGTCCTACAAGCAGCCACTTCTGTTTGAACGACCCCAAACTCTGACCCGCTCTCGGACATGGAGGCTGTGGAGTTATTGGTTGACGACATAACCGTCGTAACTTTGAACCTGTCTTGTGGTGTTTTGGAATGTGATGTGTTTTGACAGACATTGGTCTTGGACTACAAGTGCTATGTTTCGGTTTGGCTTTAACGCTAGACTGTTTGTGGCTTGCTATGGTTTACTGAGACAGCCGGTGCGCAATCACGGTCAGTAGGATAATTATGAAGCAAAGTTTTAGTTCTGAAAGAGATAAGTCCAACTGTATAAATGCTTTTCAAAATTTAGTTTTTGGTTTAAGCATTTTTTTGGTTTGGTTTGGTTTGAATTGAGATAGTGTCCATGGCTGACATGAATGAAAGAGAGATAACGAACGAACGAACGATAATGCCATGATGGATGAAAGAAGCAGTTGGGAAAGATGTTCTTTTGTTGGGGGGTTTTTCATTTCGAAAAAGGGCATGGGGGTAGATAATTGAATTCAAAACTACTGAGCTCACAACAAATGACTGAGATTTGTATATACAAAATGACAGAAGCTGTGACAGCGAACTTCAGAACATTTAAAATTAACAATTAGAAACAAAGCCAGTCACTAAAGAGGCGCTAAATTTGTGTTTGTCGTTGTTCGGAAACTTGTATTGCATTCCACACCACTCCACCGAGGGCCAGAGGATACAACTGTTTTGGGAGGGGGCCTTCATAAGAATCGACTACTCTAAAAGAAACATGAACATGTTAGAAATAAAATCACAAACAGATGTTTAATGTCATTGATGTACATATCCATAGCGGAATTTGGTCGACGAAAAGAATGAATCAAAAATAGAAATAATTTTGAATAGGTGACTGACTGTAATAAAATAGAAGGCATTGTACATCTTGAAACCAACAAAAAAGAGTATTTTGAAAATCAAAAAAGACAAAGAAGTAAATATTTGACATAGTTTAATTTTTTTTTTTTTGTATTGATAGTTTTCTTATAGCATGCAGTGGCTTGAGGTCATTAAGGGAGTTAAGAGAGCAGCAGCATATTTGCGGACCGGATATTAATTGGTGAATATTATTATGTTCTATAAAGTTTGGAGCAGCTCTCTTCGTGGGTTGATTTGTGGTCTCAATTTCATTTTAATGTGATTTACCAGAGGTAACAGCCAGAGAGAGGAAGTGATACAGAGAGAGCGCGTGGGAAGGTTTGAACTGAATTAAATTCTCCCAAAGACGTATGATTTTATTGCGAGTTTTGATCTTTCGTGGAAGGTGCCTAATGTACTAGGATGTGTAAAATCTGGTAACGGATCAGGATGGATATGGTGCTAAAGAGACAGGCTTAAAAAGAACAACTCCATACGACGTAAGGCGGGTTTGGTCCAAAGAGATATGCTTTAATAATATGTTAGAAATTTCTAAAAATCGGACAGTACTGTTATATGAGAGCTACGCTAGAACCGGCATGGTCATGTACAGGAAAGAGTGGGTCAATATTTCCCATGTCCACCTTTGAGCGAGGTTTGTATATTTATTCCACAGTTTGAGCAAAAAGGAGTGGGCCAATATTGCCCATTTTTTCCTGACTAAATACTTATTTAAATATTAAAATTTTTATATTACTAAACAAACATTTTGAAATTTTGTGAGGAAAGTGCGGAAAAGTACAATTCATTTTAAAATGTATTCTAATATTGAAAAAAACATAGGAGGCGCCGAGTAAAGAAAATGGGGCATGGATTTCCCTCTTTAAGTCAGTTTTTATACCCTATACCACAAGGTGGTCAGGGTATTATGTTTTCGTGCATTTGTGTGTGACAGGTAAAAGGAAACGATATATACCCATAGTCCTTTTGATGTTCTGTATAGAATCACATACTGAGTCGTCCGTCTGCCCGTCTGTCCATGTATTTTTGTAAACAAAGTACATATGGCATTTTTGCCCGATCAAATTTTGCTCAAATCATTTATTTGTCCCAAGAACGAACCCTATTGAAATTGGAGATAATCGGTCAAAATTTAGATATAGCTCCCACATCAATCTTCGTTCGATTTGCCTTTTATTGTGCGCCAAACATGTAATATCAGCCCGAATAGTATGAAATTTGGAAATACGACCAAATTAGGCCTGAAAATAAGTATGATCATTTTGATCAAAATCGGTTCGGATATATCTATAGCTCCCATAAACATTGTTCATCCGATTTGTCATTTTTGTCCTCCACTCCCGTAATATGCACGCTGTAACAACGATATTTGGGGAATTATATCAAATACAGCTCAGAAATATCTTTGCTAAATTTTATCAAGATCGGTTTAGATTTGTATGTAGCTCCCAGATATATCTTCGTCCGATTTGCCTTTTATTGTGCGCAAACACCTGTAATATTAGCCTAAATGTGATGGAATTTGACACTTATGACCATTTTTTTATCGAGATCGGCTCAGATTTGGATATAGCTTCCATATATATCTTTATCCGATTTCAAGTTAATTGTGCACCAAATAATTAATACAAGCTTGATTTGAGACAAAAATGCCTCGGCCAATTTAAATTATAACAATTGTAACTATAGTCATAGTTAGTATCATTCTCACAAATGCCCCTAAAAACTTTTATTTTTTATGTGAAGCTCTACTAAATATGCAAAGTGGTGTAGGTTATCACAAAGTTGGCCCCGCCCGACTTAAGGGCTTACTGAATATTTTTTGAAATTTTTAACCATTTGTGAGGGAGGTTCCAGATGGACAATTGGCCAAAGTCTTATCTAAATATTACGATGTACCATAATTGTACTATAATTTGTGCTATACATTTTTTGTGGAGCACGACCGTTATTGTTCTTCTACGAACTCGATATAAATTTGGTAAAAAATATTATGATGTCCTCTTCTACGTATACAGACATGTGCATAAAATAAATAAGCTTTATATGATATTTTGCATTTATAACAACAATAATAACCGTCTCTTATTTCAATTATAAAACATGGGAGAAACTATATCTTTTGCGGTTACTCCTAATATATTTTAAGTAACTAACCTGGTGAGAGAGGTGAGAAATAAATCTAAACTCACAACTCATCGAAGCAACTTGATCTCAATAAATCAATCAGAATATTTTTATATGTATGAGATATGTAACACCATAAAATAGTTAGTATTAATGTACATATGTATTCGTTTCACTTAGCTTTTTACATCTAAAAATTAGAAAAATTAAAAAAAAATTGGCCTCTATCTGTGTTCCTTCGGTTTTGGTGAATATGAGAAAGATGCCAAATAATGAAATGACACAACTACGAGATTGTTCGACCAACACTGGACGGGATCTTCCAACTTACCTGCTCCCTTGGCGGTACTCGTCGAGGTGAACTGTTCCGTGGTCTCGCCATAATCTCCCGAGCCATGAATGCAATCTTCGTCATCGCAGGCCCGTTCGGTGCCATTCGTTTTGTCGGTACTGACATTTTGAGGCATGGTGGTCTGTTTGGTGGGTGGCACATAGACGGGGGTGATCAGGTCATCGCCACTCGACTCGAAGGGTGGTGTACACTCATCCTCGTCATCGTCACGACAGCCCGATCCAGCACCAGAGAATATCAAATCATCGATGGCACCTGGATAGCCACTTGCCGGTGTCTGCTTGAGGAGAAGAGAAAAGACATGGACACACATTAAACAGGATTCTCAGATTCTCCACATGGGCGTTGGGTGTTAATTGGAATATTCCGTTATGATTGATTATGTATAGACATGTATGTGGTTAATAGTTATGTATGTGTATTTGCATAATATTGCGCTCATGTTAGAATGTTGTGCAAAATAAGTTTGAAAAAAATGTGTGCTTTTAAAAAAAGGCCGAGTAGAATAAGTTATACATTAATTATGTATGTATATGTATATTATGAGGGTGATATGAAAAAGGATAATTAGAGTTACAAATCTCCAGAGAAATGCGTCAACGACAAAATAAAGCAACTATAGTTTGTGGGTGGAAGAAGCTATTCTTTTAAAAAAAAAAAACGTCCCCTGGTAATAACCAAATGAACATAAGAACCAGTTTTCTTTTATATTAAGCTTTGACATGTCATTGAAATAAATTATTTCTATCCCTATAAAAAATCAATTATTAACTTAGAATCCAATGCCAAAAAGACTAATTTTTAATGATAATATTGGTGAAAGAGAGAAATGTTAAATTCACTCTGAGAAAGCTGCTTTGTACAGAGAGTATAGGACGAAAAATTATATAAAAACCTAATGTCAAAATTAATGGACAATACTTCCAAATCAATATTTCAGTCAGTCAGCAAAATAGATCTAATTTGGATAATACATATTTAATAATGCTAGAATATGCAGGTATATCCGGACGGTGACTCTTCCACTATTTAGTAGATGTCTTTAGTGCAACATTAAGATACTTTCGAACACACAATTTCAATTTTATTAATTTGGAGTGGATGTGTGAGTTTAGTCAGAAGAGAGAAAACAGACAACAAACTTGTTCTCATATCTCTTGTTAATCAAACCACGACGCATATCGGGATGAAGCAAGGGCCCGATACTCTTCAAACTTCGCACATCCCCATATTAGTCCATATTTTCTGGTATCTCTGCCACTAACATCAAAATAAAACAAGTTAAAAAGGTTCCCGACAGATGTATACCCTCAGCCATTAGGTTGCCAGAAGGAGTGGACCGATATATCCCAAGATATTCCCAAATATTGCGACGTGTGTAATTTAAAGGGAACCGGATGCTTATTTCGGATTTTATTATTTCAAAACTTTGGTTTGATTTGGTTATTCAAAACTTTGACCCTTTGTGGGGAATGTACCACAAGGAAAGGTCCGATTTCTACCATATTTATAAGAGATCTTGTATTTATAGAAATATTGAGTTGTGCCTAGCCTGCATGGAATCGGATATTAATTTAGCCTTTATGAGCTTCATAGATATTGAAAATTTTGACCATTTGGGGCGGAGGTACCAGAAGAAGTGGACCGATAAATTCCATTTTTTCACCGGAACTTGGGTTAATAAAATTTTTGTGATCTGCGTAATTTCGAGACAATCGGACTCCTACATCACGTTTTAAAAGAGTTATAATTATTCAAAATGTTGACCCTTTGTGGGGGTGGTACTTGATAGAGTGGACCTATATTGTCCATTTTCGAACCTGACCTAGCACTGATGCAAATGTTAGGAGTTGCAAAATTGAAGCAAAATCGGATTATCCTTTCCTTTTCTGCGCAATAAAACATTTTTTTTTAAATTGGACCTTTTGTGGGAGATCTCTGAACTCGATTTAAGTTTGATAATAATATTACGATGCACCTAGTTTCAACTGAATCGAATACTCTCTTCGAGAGTTATCGTGCGCACCAGCCAGGCAGACAGACGGACGGACATCACTAGATCGACTCCAAATATCCTGAAATGGATTTGGTCCAAAGAGACCTAGGGTCTAAAACAATTGTTTCGATGAGGCACGTTTTGGTCGCATTAAATGATATATACCCTCTCTAGTCATATGGCTGGGGGTATAAAAACAGGGGGTGCCGTTATATATCCTTCGCCACATAAAAAGACTTCAATATCTCTAATACAATCCTATCTAATGAATATTTTTTTAAGATAGTCCTCTTCTCATTATGAATGCAAATTTCCCAAGACTGGAGCCCCATTGAATATTCTTCGCGAGGATGCATATTAAAATTTCAAAATTTAAATGTTAACTTCATCCTATTTCAACAGTCAATATTCGACTTTAAGGCGTTGCGCATGTAGGCGGAGGGTATAAAAATTGTCAACAATCCACCAATTGCTTTCATGATTTCATTTTGGAAATCATTGCTTTAAGATAAGTGAATTTGTCCTCGGAAAGCTTACGGTCCTTCTTCTTCCGTATCGGCTTTCTCATATCACCCTCAATCTGTGTGTCTGTGTATGTGCATGCATATGTTTTGTACGATTATTCGAATATTATAAATATTTGTATTTAAGAAAATGTGCTTAGATTATTTTAATTACTAAGTGCATTGAACACCTCTGAGAGAGAGAATAAAACAACTGAAATCAAATAAAAAAAACAAATCATATATCCAAAATCAAGAGAAGGCAAGGGGGAGAGGTTAAGAGATTGATTATCATTATTTCGTACTGGCATTTTTGCTGCGGTACTTGGCAGTATTTTGGAAAGAGATTATTTATATTCTTTATCGCAAAGTGATCGTAAAGAAAATCAACACAAAACAGAGATCAGATAAATTAGTGCACAGTGCAATTGGTTAATTGGTAGAGCGAATTGAGTAATTTTTATTAGGTTAGGCAATAAGCAGCTGTTGTAATTCGATGGGAATTTCAAAATCATTTTCAATTATTGCAACATTTTCTGAGCTTGAAGTTGCCATCAAATTACAAACAACAAACGAACGAACACAAAATAGGAAATGAGGAAATAGTCGATTTTATGGATTCTTCTGATAAAGAACGAGGCAATTTACACTGAATTCAACACTAAGTTAGGTTATTTTGAAGTTTAATTCTTTTTTTTTGGTTTTTGTTTTTAGTTTTGGTATGGAAAGACACAAACGAATTCGATTGATTGCGGAGATCATGTTCGTTGCCCAGCTCTGCCAACAGGGGATTACCCTTTGAACGCTCGCAACGAACCGCCCATCTCCACCAACCAGCCGAGCCGAAATACACACTGATAATACGATAATGATACAGATTTGAGCGATCAAAAAAAAAACAAAATTAATTGGATTGATTGAATTTGAATTGAAGAAAGAATTTCAAATACGACAGAGCAAAAATCGAATCGAATTTTTACGATGAGAAAAATACTTGAAAAAGTTTGAAGAGAGATTTCAAATTATTTAAAAATAAAATCCCTAACCTGCTGCATTCTTTGCAGATCATTTCTATCTAATACTCCAGTTACCAATTGAACATCTCCTCGTATGGTTATGTGGCTGTCACGTTCCACCGCCAGATCCAGGACACGCAACTTGTTCACGGACAGGCCGGCGATGACGCCGGCAAAGGGGCGTTCGATGCGTGACCGGCCCGAACGACTGAATTTTCCTCCGACTTGTATGTTCGACATGGTATTGAAAACGGTTGATTGGTGGACTGAAAGAGAAACACAGCGGGGAATGAAAAATTATCCTCGCTTTGAACTCATTCCACTCACCTTGTGGCGTCAAAGTCTGAACATTGTAATCATCCAACTGGAGCGTGGCATTGCCACCCTTGCGACTGAACCTTACCACGTGATAGGTGTTGTCGTTGACTTTGGTGCCGATCTCACCCAAAGGCAAGTCACGGGTACCCACATTGTAGCACATGAATATGTTGCCCTCGACGATCTCCAGTTCCATGTAGTCTTGGGTGGTGGCACTTTCGATGCGCAGCAACACAGCATCCGATTTTGTGGTTATGAAACCCAGTGCAATGTTATCCTCTTCCGTATCGGCCTGGGCATTTTCGGGGAAGGTGTACTGGATGATGCCCTTGTTGTTGCCAAACTCATAGGCAATTGATTCTGAAAAGCAAAAAAAAGAAAGAACCGATAGATGTTTTCGAATCCGTCGCAGTAATCACACCCACTCACCGTCGTAACATGTCGGTCCTGTGTACGATGTCATATCACACTCGCAGGCGTACGCATTCCACTGCTGCACACAAACGCCTCTGTTCGCACATGCATTTTGGCTACATTTTGTTGGGCCCTCGCAACCGGACACAACAAGCGAGCTTGGTACTACAGCGTCATTTGTCAGTGATGGTGATGTGTCGCCCAAGTCGAGTGAAGAAATACAACCCTCAAAGCCGGAACGGGACGATATTGAGGCCGGCAGTTTCGAGTACATATCCTTGAATACACCACCTATATACAGAATGCCCGACAACTCCAGGTGCATACTGTTGCCCGAGAGCGTTATGATCTCAAACGAGTCGTCCACGGCCAAAGTATGCGTCTTGGGACCAGGTCGCCGAATGCTGACCTGATGCCAGCGATTGTCGTTCATGTGTAGGCGACTCTTGTCGCGCATCGTTATCGGGCCATCGCCCAAATCGAACGTATAGTGAATGTGGCCGTTGACCAATTCGACGGCAACGAAATCGTTGCGTCGTCCGCCATTATAGAGCAGCAAGCCGTTGGGTTCAACCGTCTTGAAACGGAAGTCCACTGATATGGTCGAATATGCTTTCAGCATTGGCAGACCCACATACGAGTGTTTGGATCGGAATGTGGCTGCATGATATGGATTTCCTGGTGGGGAGTTGACAAATCGGGCAGTTAGTTTAAAGGTGGCGCTAGGTAATGCCGAAAGTTCAGGGCCAAGACTTTTCACAATATCGATGTATCTGCAGAGAGGGGAAGAGATGGGAAAAATGATGGAAAGAGAATGAGTAAATGTATAAAGATTATTGGATATTAATTTTAGGTTAATAGTTTTTTATACCCTCCACCATAGCATGGAGGGTACATTAAGTTTGTTATTCTGTTTGTAATACCTCGATACATACATATTAGACCCCTTATAATATATTCTTGATCAGCATAAAATTCTATGTCGATGTCCGTCCGTCCGGAAATCACTCTAGCTTCCGAACGAAATGAAGTTGTTTGATAACATTTTACTCAAATGTGTATTTTATCTGCAGGACTTTTGGTATTGAAAATGGGCCATGTAGGTCCACGGTTTGGTACAGCACCTCCCTATTTTAGGTATTTTGGTGATTTAAGCGACATTATTCACCGAAATTGTGACACATTTGTTATATGAAGTTCGTAATGAATACTACTGCCTATGACAGAAAATTGTCCGTGCAAGTCCACGCCTTTATATAGCCCCCATATAACGGTCCTCCCGATATTCGGTATTTGGACGATTTTAGCGAGATTATTCACCGGAATTGTTTCAAATTTGGTATTTGAAGTTCGTAGTGGATATTACAGCCTACGGATATATCCGCCCCTTGGCGGATGATTATTCAATTAATACAAAATTTTAAAACATTGATTTTCGGACGCTTTGAAAATGTCGCCTTATATTTAGTACACCAAACCTAAAGACCTTGTACCGAACCCTTTGTGCCAATGGATACCAATACGAAAGATTTTCCCTCCATCATTTGGAAGGAACTTAAAAAATTTCAACAAATTGCAAAAAATTGCACTTAAATCATGAGCCTTATACGGGGCTATACGAAGACGCGGATCTGCATAAGTTATTTTTTTGTCATAGGCTGTAGTACCGATTTCGAACTTGAAATACGAAATTGGTCGCTAAAATCATAAAAATACCGAATATCGTATGGGGGCCATACGAAAACTGGACCGACATGGCCCATGTTCGAAACTAAACTTGCCTAATGGAAAAATACATATGTGTGCAAAATTGTAGCCTTTTATGTCAATCGAAAAGTTCGAAAGATAGCGTGATTACAACAGACAGACAAACACAAAGTCGGAAATACCGAATATCGGGAGGTACCGTTGTATGGGGGCTATACGATATCGTATATATATACAATTCTTTTCTAAGGGATTTCTTGTGTGGATTTTCAGAAAATTCCATTGAAGTTGAAATCATCAAAATACTGAATATCGGGGGTACCGTTATATGGGGGCTATATGATATATCGTGGATCGTCTTCGAACTTGACCTGTCTTCAGACAACAGTCTGATCTGTGTAAATTTGTAGCTTCCTATCTTTATTCGATTGACTCTAGCGTGATAACAACAGACGGACAGATGGACGAACGGACGAGACTAAATCGTCTTAGAATTTTACACCGATCAAGATTTCGATGAGTTACAAACAGAATGACGAACTTAATATACCCTCCATACTATGTATGGTGTAGGGTATAAAAAATGTCAATGATTGTCGATTTATTTTCAATTCAATGCCAATTTCGAATTTTGCACTGCAATCTCGGTTAAGGAAACAGCTTAAATCAAATATTATCTCAGCTTGTTTGCCAAAAATCTACTTTAATTTGTCTCCAATAATAGAAACTCCCCACTTAGAGTGTAAATTAGCCCTAATAAGTTATACAATTCTATTTTGTTTTTCATTCAAATCAAATATTCGAAAACTCATTTCCACTCACCTCTGTCCATTGAAGATGAATCCCTGCATTTGTCCAACGAAATTCGGCATTGTCGAGGTCATTTGTATTTCTTCTTCGGCATGGAACAGGCCGCCCAAGTGTATGGAGCGTATCTCGATGGTGCTGTGGCGTCCCAAAATGGTCTCCGCTAAAGGTGGAAGGGCAAGGGGGAATACATTTACAGTGACGAGATGAAGTGGGCAGTATATACACGTAATGTTCGGTTTAAGTTCGAATTCAAACACCTAACGCCTTCTTCATACATTATACATCATCTTCATACATTCATACATACATACAAATATTTGCACAACTGCTACTATGCACCTCTAGGTGGTGCATAATAACAACAGAGGCTGCTAATTATTACAACTGTTAAGGGGTTAATAATAATTTGTTTGGTTGTTTTTTGTTATTGTTTGTTTAAAAAATATTTTCATTTTCAGGGTGGGGTGGGGTGTGGAGGGTAGGTGATTTTGCAATCAGTTTTTTTTTTGTTTATTTGTCAATTTACACATTACAAGAAGCACATTAACAATCAATCTGGGGAGGCATTTGGGAGCGGGGGCAGGGAATTATTTAAATAGTTTGCAATCGGGGTTATTTAATTTTGGATTTGTTTTTTTTTTTCGCTATATCAATCAATCACATATACAAATATATATATTTTTTTGGAATAAATATATGTATCTCGGTAGATTAGGTTAGTTAGTATTGGCAATAATATAGCAATATCAATATGTATGTAATGATTGGTATCACATAAATTTCTATGGTTTATTAATTAGTTATTATTTTTATTTTTATTTGACCAAGAAAAAAAAACAGAAAATTAAGATTTCAAGCAAATCTTTTATCAAAATTAATTGAAATTTATTCTCAATAAAAGTTCAAGGTTGTACCGATCGGTACTTGCAGTTTGGAAAAGAAACTATTTTGGTGCAGTTTACATAATAATATTTATGTATATATATTTAGATATTATTCGTAATAATAATAGAAGTATTATTATTATTAATTATTTAAATTGAGAAGAAAACCGATAAATAATAATAAATAACTTTGAAAAGAAGAAAACGAGGAAAATTGAAAAAGTTGATAATAGAAATGTATAAACAAAAAAAAAATATTAGTCGGGAAATAGCAAAGAAGAAGAAGAGGAATGCAAAAGTTGATGATAATGGTTTGTACGGTGTGCTAGCTATAGGATATATTAGATTGCATAACATATTAGACGCGGCACAAATCCGATTTTATATATTTTAATATATATATATATATATATATATATATATATATATATATATATATATATATATATATATATATATATATATATATACATATATAACATATATATATTTGACACCAGATTGGAAAGAAACAAAAAAGGAACAAACAAGTAAAATAGTATCAGTCGGTTTCGCCGACAGATGTATACCCCCAGCCTAGGGGGAAGTTTCGAAGCAGTTGGCCAGTATTGACCAATTCGTATCTGACCTAAGACTGATAAGAATATTAAACGTGCCAGATTTAGACTATATCGTCTACTTCCTATACTTTATAGGAAACATTTTTGAAAAATGTGGAAATATGCGTGAGGTAACAGATAAAGCGGATTGAAGTATTCCATTTTCATACTTCATCTAATGCAGATAAAAATATTGGAATGTGCAAAATTTTAAGGAAATTGAGCATTTATATCCATTTTTATGCGAAATCATAAAATTCGAAAAAAGCGTATTCATGTCAGATATAGAAAGTTGTAAAGAATCACCGACTTGTTTCGCAAGTTATGAAAGATAAGTATTGAAAATTGTGACCCTTTCTGGGTAAGGTACCAAAAAGGGTTAAGGATATCATCTTCACAACAGATCTTTTTGTTAGAAAAAATGTTTGTGAGTGTGTGAAATTTGAAGAGAGTTGAATGCTTATTTCGCACAAATATTTGAATTCACTAAGTTGGAGCAAAATCGGATTATCCTCTCTTTCTGTGCAGTAAATTATTTTCTTTGAAAATGTCGACATTTTGTGTGGGCGGTACCATCTCTGAACTCGATCTAAGTTTGACAATAATATTACGATATATCAAGTTTGGATCTAATCGGATATTCCCTTCGAGAGTAATCGTGCGCACCAGCCGGACAGACAGACAGACAGGGGGACGGACAGACTGACATCGTTAGATCGACTCCAAATATTCTGAAACGGATTTGGCTCAAAGAGACCTAAAGTCTAAATCCGTTATTTCGATGGGGCACGTTTTGGCCGTATCAAATGATATATATCCTCTCTAGCCATAAGGATGAGGGTATAAAAATGGGTGTCTCACAATTTTTTGGTAATAATTACTTCCAAATCAACATACTATCCTATTATTTTTGCGAGGGCTTAACAACCGAGATAAATACTTATTTTCGGTTCAACTTTAGCTTAATAAAAACTCTTGGATTTTTTTTTTGAAATTGTTTCCAAAGGGGTATGGACGGATCTACCTAATCCATATGGATAATAGAGGTATCATTGGCCGGCTATCTAAAACAGCATCAAATTTAGATAAATTCGTTCGCAAAGCTGGCGTTGGACATACCCAGAGGAGAAAATCTCAAGCCTCGGTCAAAAACTACGAAACTATGGTACTGGTACTGAACAGAATCGGGTTATTTGGTGTTCAAAGACCCATATCTCTGGATCCAGGAAAAAATTATGGTACATGTTGAAGAATTTGTGAGAGGTTGGTTTGCTGTACATTTTATGGCCTGCCATAACATACTCCTTTTCGACTTTTTGAGGGTTTTATAAAAAGTCAGGTCCAAAAAATCAACTTTCATTAGATTTCAAATAATGTTAATATTGTCCATGTCGGTTTAGTAGATCCGTGTGTATCCCGGGTCATGTACTCGGACTTTTGCGTCAAATATCCGGGTCCGTCCCCCCAAGAAAAGAACAAATTTCGGAGTCACGGTACAAACATTTGAAAAATAAATGATTGAAAAGTTAAATTATTTATTATCATTTGTAGTAAAACACCCTATACACTGTGCCACTGTTGTGAACTGTTGTTTAGGACACGCATACTCTGTGTTACGATTTCTTATTACTTGGTAATGACCCAAGTGTTTTTTTTTTTTTTTGCCTTGCAATTTAAGCCATACTTTTTCAACCTAACCACTTGTTAATGCGGCTCCTAAATATTATCAGGAATATGCCAGTATAGGGTGTAATATGCACTGTTTGTATAAATTTCAAATTTTTTTGTCATTTCCAATGGTAAATTTCGATACAAACCATTATCACAAACATATGAAATATATTTTGCATATATTAAAAATATTGAAAAATTGTATTAGAGAAAAATGTAACGAAAAAAAAAATAATTTAAAATAAACACATTATTTTGGTGTAGTATTAGTGGTGCTCTTTCTGTGGTACGATATTCATTTATTTTAAGAGTGCAACGTGGGTGAGTTGTGACAGCAAACGGAAGATGTAATCCAACATAAAAACGATCATGACCAGCATTGATCTAAGTCGAGTGACAAATGACAAACGATCACAGGATACAGGGTATACGAAGGTGACACGAGTGATTTACGATACGAATACACATACTATTGCAATAACAATTGAAAATGATAAGTAAAGGTGGTTGGTAGGGGCGGTGATGTTGGTGGTGGTTGTGCGCTTTTATATCTAAACGAAAAACAACAGCTGTAGAATTCAAATGGTCCGGATGAAGGTATTCTTGTTTTGTTCATCTATAAGGAGCAAGAAAATAACTGTATGTATGTGTGTGTGTGGCACTAAAAGAGACACCTATCCAGGCAGATCTGACGATAGCTTTGGAAGAGACAGTTGGAGAAAGAGATGGGTGTGAGGGAAAAACGTACAGCGATTCCAGTTAAAGTTCAGAGGTAGGCAACAGCTTTGCAAGTGAGTTTCGATGAAGTGGACTCACTTGCCAGCCTTGAGACCAAGAAATTTAATTCAAAAGAGAGTTATGAGAACTATTGGGGGAGTAGTTATGTAGCAGAAATAGTTCCAGAGAGAGTGTCTGTGTGTTTGTGTGTGCTTTAATGGAAAATGAACGTTGGCGACTTTTGTCATACGATGATTGGCTTCTTGAGGGGATGTGAAGAGTGTGATTCTGGGAAGTATGTATGTGTCGTTGTGCGTGTTTACAAACTTCGAAACTAAGACAATGTGCATTTAAATAGTCCTAATTTTGACTAGAAGTGTTCAACTAATTTTGTCCATTAAGTTTGGGAGGAAACAAAAGTTTTAAAATAATTGCGTTCTAGTTTCGTATATTTTGTTGTTGTTGTTATTGTTATTTTTTTAAAGCCTCTTTGTCGTTCCATTTTCAGCTTTAATGGTTCATGCATGCAATTGTAAATTTTGTTGCTGTTTTTGTTTTTTTTTTTTTGTAGTTGTTATTATTATAAATTATTATGATTACTTTGTTGTTGTAGTAGTAGTAGTTATTATTGCTGTTGGTGTTTTTGTTGTTGTAGTTGTTGTTGTTTGCAAAAGAGTGGTGCTGTCATGCAAACGCCATACGTGAGGAAAACAGTTCTTTCATGTTCATTTTCCATTTAAATCATTTCTATTTAAATATTAATTATGCGTGATTTGAATTTGTTGTACTTGTAGTTGTTGTAGTAGTTGTAGTAGTGTGGCGATATTCGAAAAACAAAAAACAAGAAAATGCAAATGTCCAAGTGGCCCTCCACGCGAAATGTGTGTGAGTGGTCGTGGCGAACACACGAATCGTTCGTTGTAAGGCATTTGTTATTTCAAAGAAGGTCATTTGGGGGGCAGCTTTTGACATGGTGTTGGAATTATTTCATGTCATTGATTTTAGAAAATTTAAATATGGGTTGACAACTGTGAAAAATGTTATTCCATTTAATGTCAACAAAAAACATTGTTGAGAATTTTCCTTTCTTAGCGATATGACCTTTTTGGATAAATACCATTTGATATGAGAAATGAAATGGGCCAATATTGTCCATTTCGTAACGGACCTAAATATATATTGCGACATGCCAGGTTTGGGCTATATTGGTTACTTTCTTCACTTTATATGAGATATGTGATAATTTTTAAAAAATATTAAAATATGCGTGAGGTACCAGATATAGTCGT